ATTTCTTTGGTATAACAGTTCATAATATGTACTTCATAAACTATTATCTAGTTAAGAAATATGAAGAACACCAAGTCTAATCTTGGCTAGAATCCTTATGGTTTATAATGGAACAAATCTTTTCTGCTTTACAATAGTTGTTTCTGGAATCTCTTGGCACCATTTGGTTCAAAATCATCCAGAAGAAAAAGAAATTGAATCTGAAATCAAATATATGAAAATTCAAAATTAGGCTTTATAAAGAAGTTGTGACTATGTGATGAAAAATAACCATAGGCGACAGATCCTTTAATAAACCTGATAGAATGAGAGCTAACATAAACAAGGGAGAAAGTTGTAACATGATAGCTCTGCTATGAATGTACAACTTGGGTTCAACATGGTGGCATAACAAGCTGTTGTCCATCTACTGTGAAGATATCCCATGTGGGCACCATATAGTGTCCCAGTGGCTCCACTTCCAGTCCAACTCTCAGATTATGTTCCTGGAAGGCAGTGGAGAATGGCTCAAGTCTTTGGACCTCTGCATGCTCATGGCTCATGGCTGCTAGTTGGCTTAGATGTGAAAGTTGTGACCATTTGGGAAATGATCTAGAGAATGGAGACCTCTTTCTCTGTTTTTCCTCTCTGTGTAAAATCTACCGTTCCTTTCAAATAATACTGAATAAATATTTAATTCACAAAATCAAATAGCTTGTAAAAGAACTACTTTTTTTTGTTCAAAGTACAATTATTAACACCTCTATACTCTGAGAATATTGTATAAAAGGTAAAGAAGTGTCGTGTAGTATTTGTGTTAACAATTTAATCCACACCAAGTTTCATTTGCACATTAAGAAACCAAATAAAAAATTTAAATTGGTGTGGAACTAGTCATTCATACAATCACATTTCATAAATTATCTTAAAATAAGCTTACCACAGTCAACACTAAGAGCTTAGCATTTAAAAAATTTTTTTAAGTTTCACTATTTTATGACACAGATCTATAGGCTCTGGTATTTCCCTTCCTTTCTTTGCTGATCCCCTAGCACCCACTAATTCCCCCTATATTGTTTCAATAGTATAATCCTTCAAAATCATTCCCAAGGTTATCATTCTGCTATTTAAGCATATCTTGACAATGAAGGCGTGGACAATGACAGCAAATCTAGCATCCTATAGTCAAGATATGCTTAACAGTTTCATTGGGAGTCCATCTTTGACTTGGAAGTAGAGATGCACACTATATTGTATCTTCACATATGGATATGATAACCTCTGTTACACAGTTACTATACATCTCCTTAAACAAAAAGCTATAAAATAAAATCAACAACAAGAAGAAAAATGGGAAATTAACAACATGAAGTTAAATAACATGGTACTGAATGCCCAATTTGTAGCAGAAGAAGCAAAAAGAAAATCGAAAACCATCTTGAAGAAGATAATGCTACTGCATGACCTATGAGTCAGTGAAGAAACTGATAATATTGTTGAGGGATGGTGCGATAGCCTAGTGCCTAAAGTTCTCATCTTTTGTGCACCAGGATTCCATATGGGTGCCTATTCTAATACCAGCTGTTCCACTTCACATGCAGCTCCCTGCTTGTGGCCTGGGAAAACAGTTGAGGATGACCCAAAACCTTTGGATTTTGCATCTGCATGGGAGACCCAGAAGAATCATCTAGCTCCTGAATTTGGATTGGTTCAGTTTTGGCTATGGCAACCACTTGAGAAGTGAACCAGTGGATAGAAGATATTTTTCCTCTCTGTTTCTCCTTCTTGCTATATATATGCCTTTCCAATAAAAATAATATACTTCTGCACCTCCTCAACTGTTGACATATGCCTTGTTAGAGTTATAAGGCAGTTTGGACTATTCCTAAAATCTGCCAAGTTCAGTAAAAATTATGCTTCAACACTATAAACTGCTAAATACAAAAATGAAAATAGACACGAGGCAGCTGAGTAGTACCCTATAGGCATTTTAAGGTGTATAGCAGCCGGTTGTGTATAAACTAAAATTGAAATGTCAATGAATTAGCCACAGGAGGTGGTTAAGAACTTGCATTTTCTTTTTTTTTTAAAGATTTATTTTATTATTTTTATTGGAAAGGCAGATATACAGAGAGGAGAGACAGAGAGGAAGATCTTCCGTCCGATGATTCACTCCCCAAGTGACCACAACGGCCGATACTATGCCAATTTGAAGCCAGGAGCCTCTTCAGGGTCTCCCACGTGGGTGCAGGGTCCCAAAGCTTTGGGCCATCCTCGACTGCCTTCCCGGGCCACAGGCAGGGAGCTGGATGGGAAGCAGGGCTGCAGGGATTAGAACCAGCGCCCATATGGGATCCTGGTGGGCGTGCAAGGCAAGGACCTTAACCACTTGCGCCACAGCGCCGGGCCCAGAACTTGCATTTCCTAACATATTGGTCACTCGATACCGTGTCAATTAACTCCATAGTGTTGTAAATTGTTGTTGTTAATGTTATGTTGTGGCTTTTCATTGGCTGGGATGATATTCTGCCAGCTCTGCTTTCAGACCAGAGATGGTCTTCCCCAAGAAACCGTTGAATTTATCTGGACAATAAGATGTTGGACTCTATGCATGGTCAATGTTTGTAGTGAAGGAATCATGACTAGATTTGCAACAAGGTGGAGGAATCCACCATAGGGGGAAGGTTTGGGGAGGGGTTGGGTGAATCCTAGAGCCTTTGAAACTCTGTCATAAAATGAAATGAAATAAAAATGTGAAAACAAACAAACAAACAAAAAACAGTAAATATTTTCAGAATTGATGAAGAAATAAAATATTAAAGGAAGGATAAAAATAATATACATCTTCAAAAAGAGTGTATTTTGAAACTCATAATTTTTTTTACATTTTTAAAAAATTATGAGAGTTTTGTAGGTTCTGAGATTTCTCTTACTTTCAAAGCCTCCATCCCATTGGTTAATACAACAGTATGGTTTTTCATAAACAGCCATAAATCCAATATTCTGCTATTTAAGTGTATCCTGATATTACAGACATGAACACTGGCAGAAAGACCATCCTCCTTTTGTCAAGACGGAGGCACAATAAATATTACTGAAGATCCTTGCAAAGCAGCCAAAGCCTTTGCCAACCTCAGAGTTAACTGAGCAATACATTGAGGTAATGGGAGATACAGAATTCAGAAAACTCATTATTAAGCTTCTTATCCACATTGAGAAGCACATACAGCAGTTCAAGGAACTTAAGAAATATGTCGCACAGAAAATAGCAACACTGAAACAAAATCAAGCAGAATTATTGGAGAAGAAGGATACAATAGAGCAAATTAGACGAAAGCCTCAAGAATAGAATGCATGTAGAAGAAAGAATCTCAGAATTGGAAGATATGTCTTGCTACAATGTGGAAGAGATGGAGCTGGGTCAAGCTAAAGCAGGTATTCAAGAATTAAGAGACACTGTTAAAAGGCCAAATTTAAGAGTTATGGCAGTTCCATGAGGCTCAGAAAGGGAAGCTGGGTTTAAAGATGTATTCAATGAAATAATAAATGAAAATTTCTCTGACTTAACGAATAGGGAACCAATATACAGGAAGGGCACAGAAACACAAATAACGTTGACCAAGAACAATTTTCATCATGACGTATCATGATCAAGCTCTCTTAAGTTGGACATAAGGAAAAGATCTTTGGATGTGTACACAACACACAAAAAATCAATTGGCATATAGCAAACGCACAGTAAGACTCACAGCTGACCTCTCAGAGGAAATTCTACAGGCCAGAAGAGAATGGAGCAACACATATCAGATTCTAAGAGGAAAAAATTGTCATCCCGGAATAACATATCCAGCAAAGCTTTCCTTTGTCTTTAAAATGAAATAAAATTCTTCCAGAGTATAGAAAAGCTCAAAGAATTCACCTCCCCTAGATATGCCCTACAAATCATATTTAAAAATGTTCCCTTGACAGAGAAAAGGAATGTGGAAGCAAATGTGGAACATGCCAGTTATTCTGAGGACCACTCATAACTATTTGGGTTGGAATCTGTAGGATGACAAGTCAGTATTCTTTTTTCCGTGGCACCAGTACCTTACATTGGGCCAGAATTGAGTTTACTCTTGGCTTAGTGCGTGTATAGCTCACTCTTGTCCCTCTGGCCCTGCCACCTTTGCCACAGTGCACAAAATTTCATGCAATGTGGCACTGGTGGGGTTGGCCCGTGAAATCCACTCTGTTCCTGAATTGCAGTTGAGATCTACCGCTCTGTCCCTGCTTGTGGTCAGATATAACGAATCAGCAGGACAGACAGTTCTTTACCGTGGTTCACCTCCTAATCTCCTGGTGAACTCCTCTTCCAACCTGGTTGTGGGCTGAGCTCTGATGACCAATTGCTAATAACTGCTGGGGTATTGTCACTGTAAAGCCTCTCCATTTTTTCTGCCTACCACTAATTCTTTGACATAGTTCCTGGGTATAATTGTTAAGCACAAATTTGTTATCTTTATGATAATGCTTTGATAACTACATGTAAAAAAAGCAGATTTATGTGTCACATCTTTTCATTTTAAACATATGGAATGCATGAATCTTCCTTCCTCTTGAGATAAAAGGAATTGACCTCAAGTCTCCATGCCAGGCTGTTCTGAGTCTTCATTTCCACATATTCTAACATTAGTATAAGTAAAAGGCAAAACACATCCAAATCCACTTCAGGACATTCTCAATTCCAGTCTAATAGTCATAGGTGAGCATAGGATATTTATCTTCCTCAAAGCACATCTAGCACCAAATACAAAGAAAACAAAACAACATGTAGTTCTGTATATGTGATTACATCTTCAAAATCTGAAGATCCACAGTTTATTCAACACAGTCACAGTATTTGCTTATATTAATGGACTTTTTGTGCTTATTATGAGCAATCTGAATCCTGGGATTTAAAAAAAACTCACACATTAGTTATGTATTTAATACTACTGCTCAGCTGACATTACTTCTCATTTCCTTTTGTTTTATTCTAGATATGTATCAACTTTGCTTGTAGAGTAGTCAATTCACTGCACAATACAAAACTTTGTGAAATGTCGGACCATTGTGGTGGTAACGGGGTAAGGAACTGTAGTGATTATTTTAAGCTCTATGAACAGTTGGGAATTTTTAAAGAATGGTTTGAATCATTCTTTAAAATGATTGGGTCCTTTTTTATGCTCTGCGGTATTACCAACCTGAGATTTCTATTTTTAATTTCATATTGCTTTGGTCCTGCAGATAAAAACATTTAATAACTCTACAGAGTGGGTGGAATATAAGATGCAGGATTGTAGGCATCGTCCTATAGGAAGAGCGGTGCTTTCCTGTAACACAGAGAAAAATTAATGAAATCTATTAGGGTTCTCTTGCTGTCTTACTATGTAGAATCAGACTAAAAGCTGGAAAGTAGATGGCAATTATTGAGACATTGTGTTGCTAATGATTATTGTGGGGGATGCCATGTGAGGGGATACAGCTTGAATTTTTTTTTTTTAACAAATTGATTGACAACATAATCTTGAGCTGCTTTCCAAACCATGGACAACTGCAAGAACAAAATTGACAAGTTCTCCATGTAGGATACACTCCATAGCATGGAATGTTAACTATGAAGTATGTATATACTGTGTACTAAGTCTTTATGAAAAGATATGGTGCAGATAAAAATCATCATTATTATTATAGATTTGCAACAATTTTAATCACTGCCATTGTAAGAAAGGATTTGCTCCTCCTAACTGTACAGCAAAACCAGGAGAGTTTGGCAGTGTTGATGACGGTCATTTCCAGGCAGGCGGTGAGTCTCCTTAATTCTTTCTGGACAGAATTAACATGATTTATTAACAAATAGTGTACCCATTATTAGTAGCATTAAAAGTATATATTTGATCACTTGTAATGGCAATGTTCTGTTAAATTGTTGTCTAATATAATCCTTGGCTAAAATAGTGTCAATAGTCATGTTATATGAAGTCCTTAACATGTTTCAAGCTGTTTTTTTTTTTTTTCCTTCTTAAGTACATCTGTAATTTACTTCCAAGACAGTATGGCTGCTGCAAAGTATTTTGAGATCAACTATGCCACAGCAAACTGGGAACAAATAGGTAGCATTTGCTGATTTTATAAGAAATTGGAGCTCCCGCCCCCCCAGGAAGGGGGAAGATAACCATCCCACCACCACCTCCTTTTAAGACTTTAAAGGTTCTGAAACTCTTGGATAGACTTATGTGCATGTCCATAGTGATCTACTTTTAGATAGATAGCATACAACTGCTTAAGTCTGTTTCTTGCTAAAAATAAAGTACAATGACTCTGGATCTAGCACTATCTGCAGACGTTATTTTCATGTAACAATGTGAAAATTGAGATTTATTTGACTTCTATGATTGGTTCTGTAATGCTGGTAGAAGACTAGTAGTGGGTTATTATGTGCATTCAGGATTTTTTTTAATTAATAATATGTGCATTTATAGAACTGAAATGTTGTTCTGGGATAATGTTGATAAAAGTATTCTCATCACATACAGAATCTCTGGCATTTTTTTTTCATTTTTCTATTAATATTATTGTCATTTTGTGACACAGTTCTCTAGGAATTTCCCATGCCCCCTCCTTATATCTCTGCCCACCCCCCCATGGCACTGAGTTCTTATATATCATTTCTATGGTATAGTTCTTCATGAACAGTCATAAATCCATAATTACAGGCACGGACAATGGCAGATATATTGTCAAGATGTATTTAACAGTTTTCCTGGGAGTCCATCTTTGATTTGGAAGTAGAGATGCGTACTGCATTATATCCTCACATCTGGATATGATAATCTCTATATATCCTCTTAAATGAAAAACCTCAAAGCAAAATCAACACGAAGAAGAAAAAGAGAAAACTAAAATGCCATGAAGTTAAATAATATGCTACTGAATGACTAATGTGTCGCTGAAAAATAAGACAGAAGAAAATGATTGCAACTGTATGATCTATGAGGCAGTGAAGAATTTAATGAGAAAAAAAAGTGGTTTTGAAGAAATGCAATTTAAAATAAAAACATCAAAATCCATAAAATCTATTTTCCACTAATCTTGGTTGGTGAGATGTGTCTCCTGTAGGCAAGAAGAGATGGGTTTAATTTTTTTAAATCCAGTCTGCTAATCTGTGATGTTTGATTAATGCATTTACACCATTTACAATTCAAGGTTAATATAAATAGCTGGTAATTTGGTCCTGTCATTTAAGCAATGGGTTGTTCATTAATTCAGTCGTCTGCTGTTCTATTGGGAAGTTCTTCATATTTGCCTTTTGTTTTGGTGGATGCTATTATTTATCTCTGTCAAGAGAACATCTTTAAGTATCCTTTGTGGGGCAGGTTTGGAAAAGGCATATTCTTTTCGCTTTTCTTTACTGTGGGAGAATTTTATTTTGTTTTCAAAGACAGAGGGAATTTTTTGCTTTTAGAATCTGGAATATGTTTTTTCCATTCTCTCCTGGCCTGTAGAATTTCCTGGAAGAGGTCAGCTGTGAATATAATTACCATTCCTTTATATGTCGGTTGATTTTTTTTCACAAGCACTTTTGAGGATCTTTTCCTTATTTTTGGTTGAAGAGAGATTGATTATTACGTGTTGTGGAGAGGATTGCTTTTGTTCTACCCTGTTGGAAGTTTTGAGCTCCTCGTGGGTGTTGTTTCCCAATTCTTTCTCTGGATTAGAGATGTTTTCACTTATGATTTCAATGAGTACATTTTTAAACCTAGCTTCTCTTTCTGCGCCTTCTGGAACTGCGGTAACTCTTATATTCGGCCTTTTAGTAATGTCTCTTAATTCTTGCATACCTGTTTTAGCTTGATCCAACTCTACTTCCAGTTTTTTGTTGGTTCTCACTTTGTAGCAAGACATACCTTCCAATTCTGAGATTCTTTCTTCTACATGCATTCTATTCTTGAGGCTTTCGTCTGAATTTCTAATTTGCTCTATTGTATCCTTCTTCTCCAATAATTCTGCTTGATTTTGTTTCAATGTTGCTATTTTCTGTGCGACATATTTCTTAAGTTCCTTGAACTGCTGTATGTGCTTCTCAATGTGGATAAGAAGCTTAATAATGAGTTTTCTGAATTCTGTATCTCCCATTACCTCAATGTATTGCTCAGTTAACTCTGAGGTTGGCAAAGGCTTTGGCTGCTTTGCAAGGATCTTCAGTAATATTCATTGTGACTTTGTCTCCTTTTTTGCTCTTGGTCATTATATTTCTGGTTAGCAGATTCTTGTCCTTGGGGCAGGTTTCTAAGCTGCATCATCCACAGGTGTACACTTTCATTTTACTTATTGCAGTTGGTACATTGTGCTTTGTTTGCATTCTCTTGTGCCACTCCCTCCAGCAATTTCCAGGTCTGGGTTCTTCAGTTAGACTTCCACCATGGTCTCCGTAGCCCCAGCTCCTGGCTCACCACTCTCCACCTCCTATAATTCCATGGTGAGTCTTCAGCACTGTCTGTACAAACTTTCTCTCACTTCTGGTTGGAGGAAGTCCCAGGATTAGGGAGACACCAGGTGTCCTAAGTAGCTAGGTTTTTGGTAGTATTGATCATCACAGAACCTGCTGGCCATAAATCTGAGGTCCACATGAACCTATTTTGAATTGTAAGATGCCAAGGTTGGTATTATTTTCAATGTAGGACCAGTACAATACACTGAGCTCAGTAATTTTACACAGGCGCAGCTCACTGTTATCCCTGCACTGTCAAAGCCTTTGCCATCCTGTACAAAATGGCACCTGATGTGCCACTCATGGAGTTCTTGATCTGTCAGCTGTTAGGTCTAGGGCTACCAGGATGTATGTTGAGTGGAACCTGTAGGATGCTACTTTGTTGCAATGCACTGAACCCGCAGTGAGTTCACTCTCAGCTTAGTGCTTGTGTCATCCTGTCCCATAGCCTTTGCCTCCCTACAGAAGATGGCACCCACTTTGGCTCTAGCCAGGGTCTGGGCTTGAAATCCACCCCGTTCCCACACTACTTGTTTCGCATCTACTGCTCTGTCTCTGCTCCTGGTCAAATCAAACAAACCAGTAGGACAGGCATTTATTTGCCTGAGTTTATCACCTGAGCTCCTGATGGAGCTAGCTTGCCTGTGGAGTTCAGATCACTGCTTGCTGACTTCCACTGGAGAATCTGGTCACTGCAACATCACACCATTGTCTTTGCTGTTTCTCTGTGTCTGTCAGGCTCCAAGTGTTCTACTGTATCAGTCTGTTCTCCCCTATTACTGGAATGTGTCCTCTGTGATTCACCTTAGTTAAGAGTTCTCTGTCTGTTTAGACATTGTCTTACCCTATTCTGTCATCTTGATTCTCTAGCATAATTTTAAATTGCTATTTTCCATTGTAGGGAGAAGTGATATTGTTGGAAGGCATGCTGTTTTTAAAAAAAAACAGTTGCATCTCATTTTATATATTTCCCTGCCTGTGTTTATAATTGTTGGAGCTGTCTTACTGAAACAGAATAAAATAAAAGAGATATGGTACAGAGGAGATACTGAAAGTGACGGAAGTGACAGGTAAACTGAAAGTGGAATTATTCCTTTCTCATCAGTAGTAATCTAAAGCTATAAGTAGTTTCATAATAAAACTAATAGTAGTATAAGAAGATGCCCAGAGACACGTGTGAAGTTGACTTGGATGTTCAACCTGTGTTTTTTCAGTATCATTTATTACTAAATCTACCCAATTTGTGTTCTGAATCGTTATTGGGAAAGGTTAACCTGGAGGTTCACTTATTTAGTGTGTTTGCTCTTTCCCTCTCTAAAAATAACCATGTTGTATACAAGATAAATGAGACTTGGTTGGAGTATATTTCAAAGAAGTTTGAAAAAAGAAATTGATAAATGTAAGTTCTCAGCAATTGGTTTCTTTTATGAACAACTGCTTTCCTAAATATTGATGATGTCAGTTTGTAAACTCATTTCTTCACTGGAAATAATTTATGCAGTAAATAATATCAGGGTAAGAGAATACGAAGCAACACTATAGAAAAAAAATGTGTAAGAAAATTTCATTTAGCTTTAGAAAACTTTAAGTATAAAATCGTACATGTTATAAAAATTATAAATAATTTCATCCTTTATGATTATTCTCCATTAGTTCTATGAAATGATAATCATCTTAATACAATAAAACTTTGAATATAATTGTTAATGAAAGTTTCATATTATTTATAATCATTGAAGCTATAAGTATTAAAGCTTCATATAGAACCTCTATTCCTAATTTGTACTAATTTCCAAACAATTCACTCCTAGTTTTAACTTTCAACAACTGATGTAAAGAACATAAATATGTCTTATGAGATGGAGAAAGAAATACATAGAGAGATACACTATCTGAAAATTTAAGTACTATTTTATGGTTTTGTCTTAATTGAGTATAAGGAATTAGGCATACCAAGGAAAAAGAGGCCCAGGCTATACAACTGTGGGCATACAACATAAATGAATGAATACATATAAAAGGAAGATTAAGGGAACCAATCGAATAGCAAGTGCTTAATGATATTTTTTTAAAGATTTACTTATTTTTATCGAAAAGCAGATATACAGAGAGAAGGAGAAACAGAGAGGAAGATCTTCTATCTGATGATTCACTCCCCAATTAGCCTCGATGGCGTAGCTGAGCCCATCTGAAGCCAGGAGCCAGGAGCCTCTTCCAGGTCTCCCATGTGGGTGCAGGGTCCCAAGGCTTTGGGCCATTCTCAACCACTTTCCCAGGCCACAAGCAGGAAGCCGGATGGAATTTTAAGTCATTGGGAAGAAATATTAATTTGAATAGAGCTTTATTTGAAAGTAGTGCTTCAAGTCACCTTTTAATTTGGGGGATTTAAAATTTCCTAAGTGGAAAAATTTTATCTATGTTATAGGTCAAAAACAGAAGAAAGCGGCTCCTCCATTTCACAGTGAGTATAGAACAATGTGTTGAACTGTTTTCCTTGGTATGTTTTCAGTATTGTTTAGGGTCATATAAAAATGATTAGTTTGAATCAAAAATATATTCATAATATTCCCAATGATACTTTATGGAATTCATCTTAGTGATAGCTCAGCTTTTATGAAGGACTTTTGAGCATACAAACTAGGATGCTTGTTCATTCATTTTCTTTCTCTTCCTGCCACTCTTCTTTTCTCCTTGCCCCTCCCTTTCTTCCTCTTTCCTCCTTCCTTCCTTGTTTTGTCCACTCATTTGTTCCTTCCTTCCTGTCCCTCTTCGAGGCCAAAACTTAATTCATTTTTATTTATGCGATACACTTTTACATTAATTCCATTAAAACACAAAGCCAGTTTGCTGAATTCAAAGTAGGTGACATAACAATAGTTTCATCAATATGTAACTCACAGGGTCTGTACAGCTTTGTTAATGTAATTTAAATAATCATGACAGAGTTATTGCAAGTTATAGGTTGGCTGTGGTTCATTTAAATGGTAATTTACAATGGAAATTAATTTTATAAAACTTAACCTACATTTATGTCTCATTTATAGGCACTTGGCCTTTTAGCTAGCCAATGAATGCTTATTCCATTCTTCCATCTTACAAAAAAAAAAAAAAAATGGTGCATCGGTTGCAGGGGCCCAGAGACCTGAGCCATTCTCCAATGCCTACCCAGGCTGTATGTGCTATTGTGATTGGAGGAGTCAGGAAATGATGTATGCCCGTATGGGATGTTGTTGCTGCTGGAATATGATTAGTCCACTATGCCAGCATGCAGACCCCTGTGGTGTTTTTTTTTTTTAAGTTTCTGAAGATTGGATTATGGCTTTAATAGGTGGTCTATCTTAGAGTAGGTTTCATGAACTGATGGGGAAAAACGTGCCTTCTTCAACCATGGGATAAAAATTTCTATAGATACATGGATTAAGTCTGTCATTTCCTGGTTGAATTTCCTGGTTGATGACAGTGGACTATGTTTTGATAGTAATGAAGGTTCCCCATTATTGTTGTATCGGAGCCCATTTTCCCCTTAATTTCCATTGGCAATTGTTTAAATAACCAGGTGCACTGGCATTTAGTGCATATAGATTTACAGTCACAGCTTTTTATTCTTGAATTGATCTCTTCATATTATGTAGCGCTCTCGCTTCTCATTTTTTGGTTAAAAATTTTTATATTAACATGGTTGCACCTACCTATTCTTTCTCTTTCTGTTTGATATCTTTTCACCTTCAGTCTATGTGAGTGTGAGAGTATGATTGCCGATGTGTCTCTTGACCCTCCCTCGCACCTCCTTAGCAATCAGAAGAAACGCATGGATCTTGCTTGTTTAAAAACCCATTCAGCCAGTCTATATCTGTTGATTGAAGAGTTTAGGCCATGGGTCATTTGTATTCAGGGATATTATTGAAAGACTGCAACTTTTGCCTAACGATTTTCATTGTTTTCTTTTTATTTCCTTCTTACATGGACTAAGAGATTTTCTACCTTCCATTCTATCACTGGTGACTCTCATTCCCCGTTTCCGTGTGTTGCACATCCTCATGTGTCTGGCTTGTTGGATGATGACACATTCTTTTCTGTTTTTGAAGAAGGTCTTTATTTTGCTTTTATGTGTAAATGAGAGCTTTGCTAAGTGTGGTATTCTGAGTTTCAATACCTGGATTTGATCTCCCCGTTCTCTCCAATGTGCAGGGTTTCTGATGAGCAATCTGCTGTATATGTCTGATCAGGGACCCTAAAACTGTCTTTTTTCCTCAGGCGTTATTAACGTGGGGGTGTCTCAGCCATACACCTCCCACCCGGGGAATGGGGTGCGGCGATGGCATTCCCTGGAACACTTGTCCTTACATTAGCAATCAAGCACAGCCTTATATAGGGTGGGTCCAGAAAAACAAGCCTTAGGGTAGTAACAGTATTTTTATTGGATTTAAGTATCTACCACATGAGCCTAGCCAGTCAGTACAACTGTCACGTACTTTGCCATGTGGCACTGTGTGGCCCACCACAACTTACAACTTACGTAACTCACCCGAATTCTGGAGTAGTTTACTACCAGACTATCACAAGATTATCACAAGATGGGTGTGGGCTAGGACAGGCCGGGGCAGGAGGTGATAGTTACTGGAAAGTACTCAAATTACCGGAAGAGGCTGAGGGGAGGGAGACAACCGGAGAGCACAGCCTGCTGTGAACTGCACGGAGTCTCAAGGTGCCCCCAAGGAGAAAAGTCTCAAGGCATGTGCCAAAACCAAGCTGGAGGGTGGGGGCGTGTCTTGAGTCTCTAGACATGCCATGTTATTGAGCAGTCTCTCACCAGAAGCTGAGCAGATGTAATAGCTCTACAGTGGGATTTCATAGCGTCCAGAACCATGACATTAAAAAATTCATTATTTGTAAATTATTCAGTCTTGAATATTCTTTTCCAACAGCAGGAAATGGACCAAGAGAACTGATGATTTTAAATGATTTTTTCACATCCCTTCGGCCATGTTTCCGTGTTTTTAGAGTAATGTCAGTTATTTTGCTCATTTTTAAAATCGGTAATTTCTGTTCTTGCTGCTGATTTGTTAGTTATAATTGCTATGTATTCATCTTTTATAATCAGATGGTTTGCAAATTTTTCCACCCATGCTATGCCTTTTTCTTTACTATTTCTTTATCATAATGACGATTTTATATTTAAATGACTCTATTTATTTATTTATTGCTTATGACCTGAACTACTTACAAGGCACTTTGCTTATTGAAGTCATTAAGTCTCAAATATGGGTATATAAACACTTGGGATATTTTCCTAAGCATCTTCTACAAAAGTATTTATAATTAAGGCAAGTGTGATTTTTTTTTTCCTGGCACTAATTTGAATCATTTTCATCTTTTCATTTCAATACACTTATAAATTTTATAATAATTAAATTACAAAGATGTTACTCGGAACAAAAAGGAAACAGAGTCCCACTGACATTTTGCTCTATTGTGTTTTGTTTCCTCCTACAGCGACAATCTCTCACCACCTTGAATGTTAATCCGAGGAGCAGATGCTTACCAGTGCAGCATCAGAAATGACCTAAATCAAGAAAAAAAAAAAAGTTTAATCCTTTCTGCCTCATCTCTGCTCTCACCACTGAGTGTTTTGACTCCTGCAATAATAAATTCTCTCTGCCTCATCCTCCCGTGGAAGGACAATGCCTTCTGTCTCTGTCCAGTCCCAGATTTTTCCCACACTTACAAACCTAATAAATGTGCAGATGAGGCTGGGGATCGGAGGAATCTGGCCCAAGAACATGGTCCCTTGTAGATAAGAGAGCCCGACAGTTCTTCCTATCCCCAGGACTGGGCATAGCCTCTCCTGCTTTGTGCAGCTTGGGCTCCCTGCATCTCCCACCTCTGTAGGAGCCTCCTCCACCCCTTCAGAGTTGCTGGTGTGCTGCTAGTCTGAGATTGTTCCCAGTTATACCTACTCAGACAAGATCCAAATCCAGTCTTCCTTTTACTTGTTGATTTAGAAAAGTATATGACTGTTGAGTGTCTTTCAAATTCCTGCTTCCTAAATGGTAGATTAATCAAGAAGTTTAAGAAACCACAGTCTTCAAGGCTACTTACCAGCACATATCTTTTTGAATATCATAGGCCTACTACTGCATTTTTTTGAGTTCCTCAATTTTTGTATTGTTCAGATCTGATTGAACTTGGATCTACCTGTGAAATATTATGATGTGTGGCTTAACTATCTTAACAACTGTGCTGAAATATCAAATGATAGTTTGAAATTGACCTTTATTGAAAATCATTTCTATAACCTATAAATCTGGATTCTCTGCCACCTCTAGAGAGTTGTATAATATTTACCAGAAGAGCACTCCCCCAAGGTCAAGTCAAAATCCTTCTGTTTTCATCTAAATGTCTTGTTGGAAGTACTTTTTCTTTCCAGACTTTAATCTGTCCCCAACTCTTGCTATATCAAAGTAATTTGGTTTCAGGAATGCTAGGGGACCCGGCGTGGTTTGGATAAGGATTGTCTGTATGCTACAGTAGGGGGAGGGACTGTGTAGTTCAGAACTGTGCTGTTACAGATATGGAAAAGCTGCTGAGAGACACCATGGCTGCACCAGCAAAATGGCAAGATCATCAAAGCCATAGTCTAACAACCTTGCAGTTGGAGCCTCTCAAATACTTCTTAACTGCAAGATCTATGGAGAGAAACAGCATGTAAGGCAGTCTCTGAGGCTAACTTCCACTTTGACAAACTAGAGCAAGTGAAATGGGTGAGTAGGACTTTCATATGGTAGTAAGCATTCTTTCTCTGAAATCTACAGAGGTTTTGTAGAAAGCAGTGAGAGGAAAGATTCCAAGATGTAATAAAAATGTCTTGCAGAAAAGCCATTTTGCTTTTAAATAGGAAAAGGAAGAGCGAAGATTTCATTCCAAAGGTGTGGCCAAAACTGATGTTTTGCTACCTGAGATAAAAGTTCTGTTATGCATAATTAGGATGTAGACATGGGCATGCAGATGTCTAAATTTTGCCTGTCACAGAGACATAAATTGCAAGTGAAGAAATTTACATGGACATACAAACAACAACAAGAATTATCTAACAGTGGGAGAGTAAGCACATTTTTATGAGTCAGTGTGGCCATTCCACAAAGAAATAGTTTGCATAAGTGGACGAGAGGGTTATCCAAAAGGGAGGAGGAGGAAGAGAGGAAAAATACCAGTGTAGCATTACTAGCCATGGTCTGTGATGTAAAGAGAGGAGCATTAACCATTTGTAGTCTCTTATGCTTTAGCATTCATGGAGCTATCTTGAATCCTCATTTTTACTTTTTTTTTTTTTTTTTGACATCTCCCAGATGAAGCAGGCACATCTTTGAAAAGGGGGTATCGTTGATTGACAGGTAAAGAGGATTCTAGCTCACTTAGATCTAGCTGCCGGCCCATCCATACCACTTTAATCCCAGATAATTAATAGCAATTCCCCCAACATATTTCAGTTTGCCAGTGCCTGGAATTTTAAAAGTACATTGTTGAAAACAGAGCATCTAACAGATTATCATCTAACAGATTATCATGCATGGGTCCCAATCAATGTCTCAGTGGCTAAATCCTCACCTTGAAAGTGCCAGGTATCTCGGCTGGTCCACTTCCCATTCAGCAACCTGCTTATATTCTGGGAAAGTAGTAGAGGACGGCCCAAAGCCCTGGAACTCTGTACACATGTGGCAGGCCTGGAAAAACTCCTGGTTCCTGACTTCAAATTGGTTCAGTTCTGGCCATTGCGGCCAGCACATGGAAGATCTTTCTCTCCGTGACTCCTCCTCTCTCTAAATCTGCCTTTGTGATAAAAATAAAATTGATCTTTAAGAGGAAAAAAAGATCATCCACATCAAATTATACATAAAAAATTTATTCTTGTTCATGACCTAATTGAAGAGGATTGGCGACTTCCAGCAGAAATTAGTCAACATCAGACACAGCTAAGTTGATTCAGCTTCAAATGAAGCAGTCTGTTTAATGAATGAAAACAAAATCTTGGCATCTAGAGCAGCTGCAGACAAGAGCAGCCTCCCCGACCCCAGACACCTCAGAAAACCCCAGGAAAATATCAGAGACTGAAAGTCCACAGATCTGAAAGGCCATGGGGAAGGGCAACAGAAAAACAGGAAGCAACAGAAATGAGGAAACTGCTGAATCTCGTGGGCACTGGTGCTTTTATTGTCTTTTCTTCTGCACTACACGACTCATGCAGTAGCATCAAATTCTCCAAGATTTTTAAAGTTTCTTTTTCATCACGTTAGGACACATTGGTCATTTTGTAGCATTTTGTTTAGCTTCACATTGGTGCACATTTTCTGTTTTGCATCCTGCTTCAGATTGTATTTTCTTATAACACAAGTGTAGTGTAGACTGACAGTTCCGGATGTTGAGACATAGCTCAGTATGCCTTTCTGCATCCAGACCAAAGATGAATTTCCAGTGAAACCTTTGAATATGTCCTGACAGTAGGAAGCTGGGGTCTCTGAAATTGCCCAGACCTGTAATATCAGGAAACACTTCAGCAGCAGAATAATGGACTGATGCCTGTTCATGAAGGACATTATGGTACTAGAAAGGAAATCATTAGTAAGAGGGAGGGGACTTGTAGAGGGAGATGGAAAACTTCAGAGCCTATGGAAATGTATCATAAAATAATAATAATAAAAGAAAAAAGAAAGAAAATGTGGTGGTAAAGAAAATACTGGCAGTGGAATAATTAGTACTAGCATTGTGCAATAGAAAGTTAAGCCACGTCCTGTAATGCCAGAATAGTTTTTGGGTTCCAGTACATATCCCGGCTGCTTCTAATCCAGTTTTCTGCTAATGTGTCTGAGAATGCAACAGATGATAACCCAACTCCTTGAGGTCTTTCACACATGATCGAAACCATGACAGAATTCCAAGCTCCTCGTTTCCACCTGGCCCAGCCCCAGCCATTGTGACTGTTTAGGGAATGAACCACTAAATAGAATATATTTCTCTCTGATCTGACTTTCCTTTCTATAAATCTGCCTTACAGATAATAAGAAAAGGCCTGGCACATTGGCCTGGTGGCTAGTCCTCTCCTTGTACTTGCCGGGATCTCATACGGGCACTGGTTCTAATCCTGGCAGTCCTGCTTCCCATCTAACTCCCTGCCTGTGGCCTGGGAAAACAGTCGAGGACAGTCCAAAGCCTTGGTATCCAGAATCCACGTGGGAGACCTGGAGGAAGTTCTTGGTTCCTATCTTCAGATTGGCTCAGTTCCGACCATTGCACTCACTTGGGGAGTGAATCATCAGATGGAAGATCTTCCTCTCTCTTCTCTTCTTGGTTTATCTGACTTTGCAATAAAACTAAAATAAATCTTAAAAAGATACAAATAAGAAATAAAATTAAGTAGCATATTTGTGAATCATTCTGTTAATAACATGTAAGGCCAGTAGAAAGCAACTATGCATACATACGGAAAACCATTTCATCTAGGAAAATATGAAACTATTTTTTAAATTGATGCGTTTATAGGTGTTCTTAAAACATGTATATTGTTAATAGTTTTATTACATAATTGACAAGACAGTCATGAGTTCAATAAATTAGTTAATAAGTGAGTCATTTTGGTAATCAAAGGAAAGTGATGTCAGGTTACTTATTGGGATCATATGCTGATAAAATTATCTTTATTTTTGAAGCAAAAAGCAAATAACTTCATACACTAATTTTTTCTGTGCTTCATTTCTGTTACTACAAATCATGTAATATATTTTTTCTCCAGCCTAACTTTGCTTATAATTAGGGGAACTTCACCAAACAATGATCTACAGCAATATATTTAGTTTTGCTGGGTTGCAAAGCCTTTTCCAAGCAAACCAGGAAAAATAGCCATAGGTGTCCTGAGGAATAAAAATCAAGCTGGTGGAATCACAATTCTAGACCTCAAAACATACCACAGAATAATAGTCATCAAAACAGTCTGGCACAAAAACAGAAAAGGCCAATGGATCAGAATAGAAACCACAAAAGCAAGCCCACACATCTACAGCCAACTAATCTTTGACAGGAAAATTGAAAATAATGCAGGAGAAAAGCCTAATCTATTCAACAAATGCTGTTGAGACAATTGGGTAGCAGTGAGCAGAGGCAAAAAGCAAAACACTCACTTGCCTCCATATGTAAAAATCAGCTCTACATGTATTGAGTACCTAAATCTACCCAGAGACCTTCAAACTACCAGAGGAGAACACGCAAAGCACACTGCAAGATGCAGGAAATGGGAAGGACTTCTTAGAAACGTCACCAAAAGCACCTCCAATCAAAGCCAAACTAAACAAATGGGACACCAACCTGAGACACTTCTGTACAGCAAAGGAAATGATCAACAAAGTGACGAGGCAATCGACTGAATGGGATAAAACTTTTGTGCACTACACAATTGATAGGGGACTAATATCCAGGAGTTGCAAAGAGCTTCAGAAACTCAAAAACAGCACAACAACAACAACAACAACAACAACAAAAACCTGTGAAGAACCAGGCAAGGGAAATGAACAGACATTTTTCAAAAGAACAAATCCAGATGGCT